TCTCATCAAATTAGCTTGAATTACTGATGAGAAACATGTTGATACCTCCCTGGAGCTGAATGTCAAGCTATCTAAATCCAAAGGCCTCATCCTTCCTGATGTTACTTTGTACCGTCAGCTTGTTGGCTCTCTGATCTATCTCACTATGACTTGGCTTGATATTTCAAACGCTGTTCAGGTCGTTAGTCAATTTGTCTCTGCCCCGCGGCAACCTCATATGACTGTTGTTCGCCGCATCATTCGTTATGTTAGAGACACAACCTCTCAGGGATTGTTTTTCTCTTCCTCATCATCCATACAATTGAGGGTTTATGTTGATGCTGATTGGGTTGGTTGTCCTGACACTTGCCAATCCACTACTAGGTAGTACGTCTTCATGGGTGACTCTCTCATCTCTTAGAAGTGTAAGAAACAATAAACTGTCTCTAAGTCTTCTACTAAAGCTGGGTATAGAGCTATGTCTTCTGCATGTAGCAAGATTGTTTGGTTGAAGTCTCTTTTCATGGATCTTGGTACTCCACTTCCTATTCCTATCCCTTTGTACTCCCCTTCTTGTTGCAGGCTCTATATCTCTTCCTCATGTAGCCTCTCACATGCAGATTGCGGACATTTTCACCAAGGCCATGACTAAAAGTCGACACCTCGTTCTTGTGGGCAAACTGATGCTGATGTCTACACATCAGTTTGAGGGGGAGTGTAAAGATATTCCTTGATGTCTACACCTCGTTCTTGTTGTACAGTATCGTATTCTTATTATTTTATTTGTTCTTTTTATCTTTCAGCCCTGTAAGGGCATTCTTGTAATTGTACATATATTTTATCTCTTTAATATAAAATAGACTCTTTGGGGTGGGGGTCGACTATTCTTGACACCCTTAATTCTGTTTTCTTCTTGCTCTCAATTCAGTTCACAGTTCAGTGATATGTTGAGACCTGTATTTCACTGTCGGGCTGAAATATTACTTACAAGGGTTGTTTAAGGCCTCTCCCCATCTCACTGTTGATGGCAAATTATGAGAATAATCATCCACCACAAAAGTAAAATCCCGATATTAATTCTTAGAAGTAGAGAAGCTATCATTGAAATCGTTTTGGTGAGAGTGGTTCATTAGGTAAAATCTTTGAAGATGTTTGCTGATTTCTCAACAGTTGATATCATGAACAAATGGAAGGAAGTGGCTAGTTCTGATTGCAAAAAATCTAATATAAACCCTGCTTGGTCTCCTCTAATGGTTGATTACATCAAGTTGAACTTTGATGGGAGTAGTGCAGGGAATCCAGGCCATCTGGTATGAATAGGTGACTCCCTAGGGGCTGAGGTTATGGCTGTCATGGAAGGATTACAAAAAGGCAAAAGATGTGAATGTGAGAAATCTGATTGTAGAAGGTGATTCAAAGATGGTATTGGAGTGGTTGCAAAAGGAAGATAAAGGTTTTTGGATTTTCAATAATGAAAAAAAAAAAGATTGAAGTGGATGACTCAAGATATGGAAGTGCAGTTCAGATGGGTTAAAAGGGCAGCAAATGGTTTTGATGATGTCTTAGCAAAACAAGGAGTGGGGAGGAACCAGTTGTTTTGGGCTCAACTGTAATAGCTTTTTTGTCTGTGGAGAATTAAGAAAGTTTACCTCTCCCTATCTTGTAATTTTTAAATATTTTCTAATGAATTTCTCTTATTGATAAAAACAATGGTGAAAAAAACCTTCTCTTGTCAACATGGGAACCAGTGGTAGATAGAGTTGAAAGAAGGTTGGCAGGTTGGAAAAGCAAGTGTCTTTCTTTGGGAGGTCATATAACTCTAACTAAGAGTGTACTCTCTAACTTGCCCATTTATTGTCTTTATCTTTTGAAGATACCAGCTAGGGTAGCAGACTTAATTGAGAAGGGTCAATACTTGTAAATATGGTATGACTAGGATGTGTTAGGATTCAGAAGGGTAGGTGTCATCTATGTAGATATGGAATTTGAGTTTGGAATGGCATTATGTGTTTTGAACAGACATTTTGAATTTTTTGAAGCTTAAAGTGGGTAAGGGTCTAGAATTTGATTTTGGTAAAGATGAATGGTATGATGCTGGAGAACTTTGTGAGAGTGGTGCCCCAAATTTAAAAAACTGTTGTTGGATAGAGAACTTGGTGAATGTTTGGACTTGCTGTATGAGCTTTAAGTAGTTTAGATTCCTTCAAGGGAGGAGGATGCAAGATGGTGGAAAGAATGTCAGAATGGCTGTTTTACAATTAGATCCTTCTATAATGCACAACTTTTGAAGGTGCATGGGATTTCCCGATTATAGCCCAAAGGAAGCCTCCATCGTCACCAATCACAAGGTTGTTGTAGGAAGACTGAAAGGAGAAGTTGCCAGAGGCCTCCCAAGACCATATTCTTTCATCATCTGACTGTGGGTTGGATTTGAAGGCATGAATGACTTAGAAGATCTGTTAGTGGACGAATTTCCCAATCGTTAAAATTTGTTCTGAAAGTAGGGTCCCAAATAATCTCCCCATTCATCGATTCAAAGAAATCTTCCACCACAACATCTTTATCCTGTGCAATATCAAAGAGAGAGGGGAAACTTACACTTAAAGCAATGTCCCCACACCATTTGTCAAGCCAGAACTTGAAGTGTCTATTGCCAACCTTGCATTTAATCCCCCCTTCAAGAAGTTAGATTTACTTTTGGCTCCCAAGGGAAGGCCAAGGTAGGTAGGTGGTGGGCAGATTCCCAGTTTTGCAACCCAAAATATTAGCCATACTGGGATCAGGAAATCCTTCTATGTCATCAATAATTCACTCTTAGACAGGTTAATTTTGAGGCCTGGAACTGCTTTGAACCATCTAAGAATGAAACCCAAAGAGACCATCTGATCAGATGGGGAGTCACAAAAGAAGATGGTGTCATCAGCAAATTGAATAGGGAGATTGGATCATCTCTCTCACCAACTTTAAACCCTTGAAGGAGACCACTGTCTGTTGCCCTACAGGTGAGCTTACTTAAGGCTTCCATTATTATGTTGAATAGGAAGGGAGACAAAGGGTCTCCATGCCTTAAACCCCTTGAGCTTTTGAATCTTCCATGGGAAACACCATTGAGGACAGAGAAAGTGGGAGTGGTAACACAGTCCTTGATCCAATTTCACCACTTGGAGCTGAAGTTCATTCTAGAGAGCATATAGTCCAGGAAATTCCAACTAACATGATCAAAAGCCTTTTCCATATCCACCTTGAGAATTGGCCCTTCTCTATCCCTTCTACGTGAGTCGATCAACTTATTAGCAATAAGGATCCCATCAAGAATCTATATCCCATCTACAAAAGGTGTTTGGGGATGTGATCAGCCTTTAAACAGAGCAAACACAAGAGAAAATAAGAGGAAAGTAGGTCTGATATATTCCTGAACTTCAGGAGAATGAAGAAGTAGAGAAGAAGAATGTCTGGAGAAATATGGCTAATGGGCAGAAGAGGTCGAACTGGGTTCTCTCTTACTACTGTCCCGCTTTTGTTAACAATATAATGTTAAGTGCAAAGACAAAAAGTACCCTGTTTAAATAACAGGATGAAAGGAGCCTAAAAGACCTTTACACCCTTGTTGCCAATACATATATAAAAGCTAATACTTTCTAACAGGGGAAACCTTATTCCACCTAGGGTGGAAGCTTTTGCATGGTTTGTCGTTGTGGACAGTATTCTCATTAATGACCATTTAAAGAAAGGGGATTTCACATAGCCAGCATTTGTCACATAGGTTTCAAGGCAGAGGAAGATGTGAATAATCTATTTATTTTATGCAGATTTTCCAAATTTATACAGGATTTTTTTCTTATCACTTTTCAGCACAAGAATCTGGCAGCCTTTTCATTATAATGAAAAATTTTCTTTGGTCATCATTCAAGAAAGCAAGAGAGCAAATATTTTTTGGAGCAGTGTGCCATTTTCCATTTGTTGGCATAGTTGGAAGGAGAGGAGCATGAGGACCTTTGAAGACATTTAGAAGAGCCATAAAAAGTTGGCCTGGAGAGTGGACCAGTCACTATTGATTGGATCAAAGTTCACCCATATTTTGCTCATGTTCAAAGAAATGAGTTTGGGTGCTTCTTTTGCATTATGTTGGAGATATCCAGTGTCAATTGAGCATGCTGCTGAGCTGGATATAGTTTGTCTTGCCTTGATTTTTGTTTGTTCTTCTCTTTCTGTTTTGTATTTTCAGTATTCCCTAGAGAGTTTTAAGGCATTTTGGACTTGTGCATGATGTCTGGGATGTTACGTTGCCACCCTTGCACTTTTGCATTTTTGTTTGGCATTTTTGTTATGTCTGGGATGTTATGTCTGGCATTTTTGTTTGTGCTTATTTTGCATTTTTAAGGCATTTTGGTTGTTATTTTTATAAAATCTTTCACTTTATTAACAAAAAAAAAATGTTTCTTTGGAAAACCACCAATATTGGAGGAAATTGGGTTCCAATTGAGCACCCATCAAGGTTGAGTTTGACTGTTCCTTCAATAGGTGGATGCCATTTCCACTCTTCTTTGGATATCAAGGAGACAACTTTGTTACTGAGAGCATAAGTACCAACTGGTCATTGAATGCTAACTTCATGAAAAGGAAAAACAGGAGAAAAATTATCAGTAACAAATCTATTTGTGTGAATTAGCAGTTGTATTTACACTTTGATTGTTTCTATTCATGTTTGCCATCATAAGAAAAAACATGGATATACTTTGGTTTTTAAGAATTATTTCCTTTTTTTATGTTAGCAATATATAAGCAAATATGCAACCATTCAGTGATATTATAAAAACTATTCTTTGGGATGTCTATTAGAAAGGGAAAAAAAGAAAGAGCTGTTATTTTCCATTGCAATTAGTCCTCATATCAATACTCATTTGGTTGCAACATTTTGGTGGACAAATTGACAGGAATAATCCTAAATAAGTATACAAATTTAATTGCTCTCCATAAACACTTCTAAAAGGCAGCATCTAACATATATTGTGTTTTGATAGATTCAATCAGGACCTCCACTGGATGAGATGTCTATAGCATGCATCTTACGTGACTTGTTGCATGCCATCGAATACCTCCACAATGAAGGAAAAATTCACAGAGATATTAAAGGTAATACCATTTCTTAATCACTAACTATTTCTTTTGATTGGTAACTTTGAGAGATTTCATTAGGTTTGAGTAAAAGAATCAATCTTTACAATATGGTTTTGCCTCACACTTCTCATGCTACTTTAGATGGCTACCTGTCATTTCATTTTCTTAATTACATTACTTGCTGTTCTTCCTGTAGAGAAAATGACTGACCAGCTTGTGGTTCCACCTCTTCATTATTTCTTGATGTTTCCTTCTGATTATATTGCTGTTAGAATGTTTTTTGTTGTTTCTAGTGATGGGTATTCCTGTCATTGTACCTCTTTTATTATAAGACTAATATAAATAGCACCTGTGGTGGCAGACTAGAAACATAAGTTTGCACCCCTTTTCTCTCTATTCTTTCTTCCTCCTCTCTTCTCTTCTCTTCATCTCTGTTTTTCTTTCTTCTTTTCTGATTTCTCCTTGCTAAACAGGTCTGAACCTCATCGGTTTCAGACAACTCTTCCTAGGTAGAAAGTCCTGTACATTTGATCCCTATTTATCCCTTGACTTGCTAGTGTATCTGCCATGCTTTTTGCTGATCTCTGAGTCCATGTGACTCTTATGCCCTTGCTAACCATTTCACTTCTCTTAAAACATTCCTGTAGCACAATATCCCATATCCAGCCATAACATTCTTTGAACCTCTTAACTATGAGATTTTTGTAGTTAAGAGCCTTTCCTAGCTTGATTCCATGTTATTGTGCCATTAACTCTACCATTATAGAATTGTCTTGGCTAAGGGCCAGAAAAATGGTTAATACATGTCCTTCATGATTTCTGATACTCCTGCCACTCTTGACATCCATTGATTGCCCATGTTGCTCCCATCAAAATTTGGCTTCATGTGGTTCAAAGGTGGTTGGTAGATAGATATTATGCTGCTTGATGAGGCTGAAGAAGCAATTTGCCGCCAACTCCTAGAAAACTTATTGCTTTTGAAAATAGAATACAATGATTATGTACCAATCAAAGTATTATGGAGCCAGCTATTATGCTCCCTACAATTACCAGCTATAACACACTGCACCTTTCTTTGAGCATGGTGGATACAGACCCCAGCCTCCATGCTAGATTTTGTCTACTAACACCTTCATTGGCAGGGAGTCTTTAAGAGAATTATCAGACCAGGCTACCCATACTGCCTCAGCTTGTAATGTCTGAACTCTGAACTAGAAATCTGATCTCTCTGGTTTGATGTCTTAGACTCCATGGACCTACATATCACCCCTCAACCATGCAATAGTGGTTTTAGAGTTTCCTTCAATAATCACATTCCTGAATATTGATGTGTTTTCCAGCCTCAATCCTTGAAGTACTGCAAGCACTTGTGTTCCCATATGCAGTTGGCTCTGAAAAGGCCATAATAGTGTTGCCTCCTTGATCGTGAAATACGCCTCCAATCTCTGAATTTCCTGGAGTTCCAATGCCACAGCCATCAAAGTTCATTTTAATCTTGTCTTCTGCCAGATTTGTCCAACAATTGGTTAATCTATTACACACCATTGAAGTAGATGCCACCGCCACTTATCCTCTAATGATATCATCTATTGTGAACACCGAGAATTCATGTCTTATCTTCACCAAATGGATTATTTTAATCTCAATTGGTTAAACGATTGCCTCTCTAGAGTAATATCAATATCCAGTTTGGTTTATTACTTTACCCTTTCAAAGATTAGCCAAATAGAATTTGCATCTCCTTTCTTACTTTCAAATGCATTCAGCCTTATTTCATGTTACTCACACTATGTAATGACCTGCAATAAATTTGGCAGCTGCGAACATTTTATTGACAGAGAATGGAGATGTTAAGGTACATAAATCCTTTTTGCCTAAACATTTCTTAAAATCACCAATGATGTTTAAAATGGATGGAATGCCTTCACTTGATTCTGATTTCTCAAATTATTTTTCAAATATTTAACAGGTTGCAGATTTTGGTGTTTCTGCTCAACTAACACGAACAATTGATAAAAGAAAGGTCATGCTCTTCCTATGGATTTATAAAAATAACAGATTGAAGTACTTTGGTATTTCCTTTTGCATTGTCTTTATTTGTGATAAGATGGGAATTATTTAGTATTTATGTTACAGCATTGAAGTCTTTGTGTTAATAAATTTAAGCCACAGACATTTGTAGGAACACCATTCTGGATGGCTCCAGAAGTCATTCAAAATTCAGAAGGATACAATGAAAAGGTACCTGTTGGCAGAGTTGTCTTGGATATTTTATTTTCTTTTTGGAACTTGGTCCACTTGTTTCACACACTCAGCTTTTACTTTATGCAGGCAGATATCTGGTCTTTGGGGATCACTGCAATTGAGATGGCTAAAGGGGAGCCTCCATTTGCAGATCTACACCCAATGAGGGTTCTTTTCATCATACCGCGAGAAAACCCGCCACAGGTTTGTTTATTTTGATGCATCACATTTACTGTTGTAGTTGCTTAATTTGCAAATGATTCAACATTTCGTCTTGATTTCTACCCTGCTCCAAGTAGTTACTAGTTAGAGTTAAAGCATTGTTGAGATTGAGTTGTTTTTAGACCATTTATTAGTTCTGAAGGATGGGGTAATGCTTGTGTTGTGCAGCTGGATGAGCACTTTTCCCGTCCTATGAAAGAATTTGTTTCCCTGTGTTTGAAGAAGGTGCCTTCTGAGGTAGTTATTCATACTTCCCTTTATGTTCTTTTATTTTGTTCTGAAAAGTTTTATGTTTGAGCAATTTGGATATGTCAGTATTGTACTCAAAATTAGGAGAAGTGCAGAATTGTGAAATATAAGAAGATATTTCAAGTTATCAAGTCAGTGTTATTGTAGAGACATTAATAGTAGAGATAAAACGGAGGGTTAGTTTTGTTATTTTCCTTGTATATTTTCTGTACACTATTTGTATATTGGCTGTACACTTTTTGCATCTTAAGGACAGGACAGTTCTTTTACCTTTTAATATAAAGATTCTTTTCTGGGTGTGGATAGGTCATGTAGACACACCTGAACTTCTGTCTTTCTCTTGTTCATGCCTACTCTGACATGGTATCACAGCAGGTCTTGATCTGTTCTGCTGTTAGGGGTTTTTCTATCCTCTGTTCTTCTGCTATTGGGAGCTCATTTTGAAGTGGAAGTGAGCTCTATTTTACTGTTCTGGATATTTCTCCTTTGGGCTGTTTTGATCCTGTTTACTGGTTTTTGTGCAACCTGTGAACCTCTTGGATCTTTCTTAGGAGGCATCAAATCTTTGTAAATCTCTGGATCTGTGGTTCCCCAGAAGGGTTAAACTGATTTCTTTTGGATGGGTTGGATTAAGTCAATTTTTAAGAAGATTTTGATCTTTCTCTTGGATCAGCTACTTCTGCAGTTTCCTTTGTTCTTTCTGTCTTTCTGCTACTTTGATTAGTCTTATTAATCAGGTTTGGCATCTCCTTTTCTCTCTTTTTTGGTTTTCTCAATATGGTCTTGTTTCAGCCTGAAAAGTGTCTGAAAAAAGTTCTCTTAGATTAGTAGTCTGTTAACCACATTATTGGATTGATTTCTTTCTGTTATTCTACTGTTTCTGCTTGGTTTCCTATTTCAATGGCTGCGGAAGGAGCTAATAGTCTTCCCATTAGGTTTAATGGATCTAACTATGCCTTGTGGAAGTTCCATTTCCAATTTCATGTTGAAGCCAAGGGACTTTGGGGCTATCTGGATGGCTCAACTATTGATGCAAAAGCCCTAAAGCAGTGGAAAATCGACAATGCAAAAGTTGCCTCTTGGATCCTTAGTTCGATCAAAGTTGATATTGCTATTCTGATGTGTGGATATAGGATTGCTTATTAGATGTATCAATACATGGAAAAGTATATCAGAAGTCCAATATCTCTAGGGAATATCAAATAGAAGTTGATATATTTTCTTATCATCAAGGAGAGAGGAAGATTCAAGGGTATTATGCTGGATTCATCATTTTATGGACTGAATATGAACTAGTGCATATGGGGGAGGATCCTTCAGCTTGTTGTGTCAAGTTTATGAAAACACATTTCAATAGAAGAAAGGTTATACATTTTCTAATGCATCTCAGGCCTGAATATGAAGTTGTTAGTTCTAATATTCTGACTAGGGAAACACTACTAGACCTGGATACTATTCTTGGGGAGCTTCTAAGAGAAAAAACTAGATTGACTACTCAGACTGCACTAGATGGGAAGAGGGACTCTAATTTGGATACTGTTTTTCTTGCAACCAGACCCAAAGGATAAAAAGACTTCTCATGTGTACAATATTATGAGTGTAAAGAATTTGGACATGTAGCTTCATATTGTAAAATAATACCTGCACCTATTGTAAGCAAAAGGGCATATTATTTTAGAATGTCCTACTCGACCTTCTAAGGGAGGTGGGCCTAGTCAGAAGAAAGCTCCACATAACGGATCATCCTCATCTACTTCCTCGGTGCCAGTAAGGAATACTACAGGTGTGAGGTGTCATGATAGAAGAAAAGAATTGTCAACTTATTCTCTCGGCCATCTCTTTTGCCTTCTTTGCTATCGGTTTGTCTAGCAAGTCTTTTTTCTTTTTGCCCTTCACCTAATCATCTGTTGACCATCAGTTATAGTGCCTCTAATCAAATGACAGGGCCCTCTTTTGGTCAATCTCCTAAACCTCTCTCTTTTATAAACATATTGTTATTGCCAATGGTGAAAGACTAGATATTATTGGATGTGATGATCTATTTGTCTACTTCTAAATCCTCTCCTTTTCACCTACCCAAGACATTGTTTGTACTCCAACTTACAACCAATTTGATCTCCGTTGGACAACTTGTGGAAGATGATAACATTGTTTCTTTCTTTTCTGGTGGTTGTTTGATACAAGATCAACGAAATTGGGGGGGTGGGGTTGAAGGCAAAGGGATGTTGATTGAGTTGACTATTTGCTTTGGAATTTGAGAAGGCTCATGCTTTCTACTACCCCTTGTTTTGAAACTTATAGTTGTATTAATGCTTGGCATCTATGTCATAGATGCCTTGGACTTCCTTATTCGAAGAAAATGAATTTTTTGTTTACTTGTGGTAGTTTGTCATGTTCTTTGTGCAAAAGTCATGTTTTACCTTTTCCGTCTTCATCTCGGCATGCTTTTTGTGCCTTTTCAGCTTATACATAGTGATGTTTGGTCGTTTCCAATTGTTTCTAGGTTGGGTTATAAGTATTTTGTGACATTTATTGATGACTGTACCCGTTTCACCTAGACCTACTTTTTTCGCAAGAAATCAAAAGTCTTTTCATCCATTAAACTATTTCAAGCTTGGATTACCACTCAGTTCAAAACTGTTATTTGCATCCTACATTTTGATTTAGGAGGAGAGTATTTTGATGAAACTTCCAAAACTACTTGAAACAACAAGGCATCCAATCTCAAAAATCCTGTCTTGGCACTCCACAACAAAATGGAGCTACAAAAAGAATGACTAGTCACATTTTGAGTGTTGTGAGGACTCTTTTGCAAGACTGACATGTACCTACATGGTTTTGGGTGTAGGTGGCTAGCACTGTTGTGTAATAAATCTTCTTCCCTCATCATTTCTAGGTAACTCTTCTCCTTTCTAGTCTCTTTTTAATCGTCCATCAGACTTCTCTATGCTTTGCATGTTTGGTTGCGTCTATTTCATTCATCTTCTTCCACAAAAATGCACTAAGCTCACAACTGAAGTTGCATTGTGTGCCTTGTGGGTTATAGTCCAAATCACAAAGCATTTCTTTGCTGTGATCCCAATGCATGTCGCATTCACATTTCTCATAATGTCATTTTTCTTGGAAAATATATCCTACTTTGAACATATTGTTAAGTTACTTGCTCCATCTATTTCTTTATTACACACAACTTTGGATTCCACGGAAGCATCTCCATACATTTCCAAGCTTCTTTAGACATTCTTCCGAAAGCGATCAGCTGTTCCAGCCCCTATACCTCTTCCTTCTTCATCAACAGACATCGGTCATCCCAATTCTATAGACACTGTAAGTCCCTTCGTTCCCCCATCTAAGTTCATTTTATCTCCTGCTCCTACTTTGTGCCGTTCATCTAGAATTCCTAGACCTCCTGATTGCTATGGTTTCTTTTAGATCATAGCTCCTTGTCCATTGTGTTACCATCTATAGATATCCCCAAGTCTTACCAATAGGCCATTGCTCTTTCTCATTGGAAAGATTCCATGGACATAAAACTTCAAGCCCTTCTTGAGAATGACACCTGGGAGCTTGTTTCTTCTCCTCTAAATGTCTCTCTATCATCAGTAGCAGATTGGTTTACTTTGTGAAGTTGAAATCAGATGGGAATCTTGACTGATATAAGGCCCTCCTTGTAGCTCAAAGCTATAAGCGGGAATATGGGGTAGATTATGAAGTAACTTTTGCACCAGTAGCAAAGATGAAAACATTTCGATTAATTTTGGCCATCTTTGCAATTAAGCAATGGGAGATTCATTAGATGGATGTGAAGAATGTTTTTCTTCACGAGGAATTAAAGGAGGTTGTATACATGAAACATCCTCCTGGGTATTGTGATAACCCTTAACTTGTTTGTCATCTCAAGAAATCCCTATATGGTCTTAAATAAGCTCCAAGAACCTGGTTTGATAAATTCTGTTCTGCCATCACTGATGCTGGCTTTATACAGATCTCTTTAGATTACTCTCTTTTTACCTTACACAGTTCTCAATGAATGACTATACCTTTCTTGTATGTTGATGATATTATCATTGTTGGGGATGATTAAAAGGGAGTCATTAATTTAAAGCAATTGTTGAGTTAATCCTTTAAGATGAAGGACTTGGGCTGTTTAACCTATTTCTTGGGCTTGGAGGTGATTCATAACTCTCATGGTTACTTTGTTTACCAACACAAGTATGCAACAGATCATATAAAGATGGTTCATTTGACCGACACCAAGCCGGTTGATACTCCCATGGAGCTTAATTTGAAGTTGGGTAAGGACGACAGTCCTCTTCTAGGCGATCCTACTCTCTATCGTCAACTAGTGGGCAGCCTAATTTACCTTACAATTACCCATACATATATATCTCTTATGCAGTGCAAGTTGTGAGTCAATTTATTTCTTCTCCTCAACAGCTACCTTTATCTGCTATCTACTGTATTATCAGATATGTTAGAGGGATCATATCTCATGGGTTGTTCTTCCCATCCTCATCATCTCTCTATCTCTCTGCCTATGCTGATGCTGATTGGGCTGGTTGTCTTGACACCAGGTGGTTTACTACTGGTTGGTGTATCTTCTTGGATGACTCTCTTATTTCATGGAAATGTTAGAAGCAATCTATTGCTTCAGGCACTCATCCATGATCTTCATTTTGATCCATAGTTTTCAAGGCACCAAGGTGAGGCTAGGCGGCAAGGGGGCTTCTTGTTGCCTAGTTGCCTAGGCAATGGATTTTTTTAAGTATAAACTTCATGTTTAAGTATAGAAAATCAACGTTTTCATGAGAAGAAAAATATGAAAGAAAAGAAAATTCAAAAAATATAGGGGCTGAAGCCCTTTTTTTTGTTAGAGGAAAAGAAGAAAAGAAGAAGAAGAAGAAGAAGAAGAAGAAGAAGAAGAAAATGTGTTTGATTAGACCACATTTTAAGTTCTCCCTTATTGGTTTAGGTTTTGTAGTCTTTGA